CATGACACAAAAAAGGTTACAAAACCTCCTCTAAAAAGCCCTACCTATACCTTCTCTCAGTCCTCACACCCCCCACGGCCAGTCCTCAGAAAGAAGGAAGGGACAGTTCCCAGGGCAAGTGTCCACCATGTGGTTTCCTCATCAGGAATTCTCCAATGGTCCTCAATTTCACCCCCTGCTTCTCTCCTCCTAAATTATCCTAAGGTTTCACCATTTGTTTAACCGGCAAAATAGGGTGAGGCTAGAGAGATGCCTAGTGCCAACATTTAAGGAGGTGCTCACTCTCAGGGTCGTGTAAATGCAGAATCAGCACTTGTATGGCCCAGAGTGTGACTTTCCCCTTAAAGTTATGTGCCCTGGGTGCCCCTGGCCTCACTCCAACTCAGGTCCCGATATAACCAAAACTATAAACACAGTTTAAGCAAAGCTCTTGAAAATGCTCTACTCGGTTTTCATTAGAACGTGCTCTCAACCCCAGCTCCACATAAGAATCACATGGGGGAGCTCTTAAAAATCCCCACGTTCAGGCTGCACTCCGGGGCTAATGAAATGAGAATTTCTGGAAGTGGCCCCAGGCACCTGTATTTTTTAGTTTGCACTTAAAGCTCTCCAGCAATTCTCAAGTGCAAACAAGGCTGGGAACCACGGCCTGAGAAAGAGGACTTCTTTAGAAATCCCTTAGGAGTTCTGGGTGAACCTGAAATCCAAATGTTTGAGATTAAAAAGTGACAGATGATTAACACTCGGTCCTCATTCATCAGCATTCATCTCTTCACTCATTCAACAAACATGCCTTGAGTGTCCACAGTGGTACACAGAGCAGGGGCTACCAGATCCTCCTCCCTTCCCTTTAGGTAAGCTTGCAGACTAGTGAGGAAGACAGAAATTAGACAAACCTATAAAGGAGTATTTACAAACTGATGAAAGTGCCATAAAGGAGCAGATGCTGAAAGTAAAGTAGGGAGGGGACAGTCACACAGAAGCATCATCTAACAGGATTAACCCATCCAAAGATTACCTAACTCCCTAGGGACATGTACTTTTGTTTTGACTTACTGTTTACTCTTCATTAGGCATCTTACAACACTGAAAGGATGGATATTAACTCATAGAAAACTGTTAGCTAACTAACCTTGTCTAATAGCAATGCAGGTGAATTTCATCCCAGGAGAGAATCTAATAGCCAAGTCACAGTTTTATTGCTCTATAGGGCATTCATCAATTTTATATGTAATTTAGCAATCTTATTCCAGCATTCTTTCCTTCCAGGACTATAAATACTTCTGACTCTCCTGTATTTTCCTGAGCCAGTTTTACTCTATGCTGGTTCCTTCATTAATGAATTAATTTGACAGAACCTACTCTAGACAGGATGGTGGGGACAGTGCACAAATCCCGAAGGATGAAGAAGAAGAGCGAGCCATGGAAAAGAGAGGGGGAAAGAAACAGACTGTGGGGAATCCAAAACCTCAAGATAACATGGTCTTTCTTGCAGCGGGAAAGAGATGGCCCAGAAATGGCTAGAAGGCCAGTGAGGCTGGGGGCAAGATGGAGAACACAAGGCGGGGCAGGTTTAAGATGAGGACGGAGAAGGAGGCAGAGACCAGATCACTCAGGGCCCTACAGATCAGTGTAGTGACTGAATTTAGTACGTACAATAAGCCAACCAGGGGAGGATTTCAAGGAGGAGGACAAAATGATCTGATGGATATTGTGATATTGCCTACTGCCATATAGGCAAAGAGGCTGGAATAGAGAAGAGAGGAGGCCAAGAAATCAATGACAAAACCACTGTGGTATCCAGGTGAGTGGCTGAAGGTGGCCCAGTCTAGTAGGATACAGAGATGGAGGGAGAAGGCAATAAGACTGGAGCCACACTGCCAGGACTGCTGACAGATTACACTGTGGACTGAGGCAAAGGGTGGAATCAAGGATGACTTCTAGGCTCCTGGCTTGAGCAACTGTAGATGGTGGTGGCATTGACCAAAATGGGCAAGGCTACGGGTTAGAGGTTAACACACACATACACACAGACTCATGTAATTCATGAAGTAAGAACGGACTCACAACTCCCTGAGTGTCATGAGGCTACTACAGCCTTTCCGATCAGGTTCTCACAGAGCATCCTCTTTGGCCTTCAAGGTTTGTGTCATCAAACATTAAGCGAATGGATTTCAAGCAACAACTTGGAAAATTCTAAGTGGCAGCTCAAAGTTTGGCCTAATCTTGCCCTCATTCTTACTTAACATATGCTGACTGTAAATAACATTTATTTAATAAATCTTTAAGTGAAGGAAGAAAATTCAAAATTAACTGAGTATAAACTGTCAGAGGCAAAAGGCAGCATCAGGATTTATAAGGTACAACTGAGAAAGCCTTACACTTAAGAAAAAGCGTTAATCCTTGACACATGTGATCATTTAGACACTCCTTCCCCCCTCTCTCCTCCTAGGAAATTAAGCTGTAGAGGTAGGCACAAATCCCGTAAAAGACCGGTCTAACTTAAACAACAAAAGTGTCAAAAATTTATTCTTGTATACAAAAAGCAGCTTTAGCTTTTCCAGCAGATAAAAGTTGGAAGACACAACAATAAAGCTTAATGACCATTTACAGTGGAATGGAAATTTTCAGTGTCTACCACAAGTCCAAATACAATGTGATGTGGCTCTAATCATAGCAAGTGACTTATAGCAGTGACTGCTCAGCCTTGTAGTCATAAATACCAAACTTGCCACTGAAATAACACTCCATCAAAAAAACTATTTTGGGGTGCCTGGGTGGCTCAATCAGTTGAGCATCCAGCTCTTGATTTCAGCTCAGGTCATGATCCCAGGGTTGTAGGATCGAGGTCCAAGCTGGGCTCCATGCTGTGTAGAGCCTGCTAAATATTCCCTCTGCCCCTCTCCCCACTCTCTCAAAAAAAATAAATGAGTAATGAATAAATAAAACAATTTTTTAAATCTATTTTAAGAAACCAAATTATGTAATACCAAGGGATGCCTTTTGGGGTCAGATTTTTTCCCCACTCAGAAAATACTCTGTGATTCCAGATTATAATCAGCACCTTAATAAAGAGAATAATCAAGAAGAGGCTACTATGCACAGTAATGAAGAGCACGGCAACTGGAGACTGAGATTCTGGCTCTACTAACCTGAAGTCTTTAGGCAAATTACTCAAGGCCCCCTAAACTTCAACTTCAATAATCATCTGTAAGATGAGGGTAAAAAGAGTGCCGCAGTAGAGACTTCCAGTGTTCATCCACAGAAAGTTCTCTCCTTGCGGGTACAGGGGACAACTGCATGCCCCCCCCCCCCCCCCCCCCC